AGTTTGACATCCCTGATCTATAATCATAACCTAACTCCCAGGCTTTTTATGAGAAAAAATTTGTGAGAAATTTCCTTCAAGTAAACTGAATGTTTAAAAGTTTCATCGGCTAGTAATTCTACTTTTTATTCCTAGCCCTCTGTGCCTAGCCGGCACTGAGTAATGTAGTTGTTGGGAAAGTCTTTTTTAAAAGGCACTACTTTGTGGGCTTTCTTCAGACCTCCATATATACCTTAATCTCACCTGATTGTTCCTTTCAGGTAGTCCTCGACTTACAGCAGTTCATTTAGTGACCATTCAAAGTTACAATGGCACTGAAAAAAAGGGGCTTAACAACCATTTTTCACACTTACAGTTGTTGCAGCATCCCCATGGTCACCTGATTTACATTCAGCTGCTTGACAACTGGTTCATATTTATGATGGTCGCTGTGTCCCAGGGTCATGTGATCATCTTTTGTGACCTTCTGACCAGCCAAGTCAATGGGGAAAGCCAGATTCACTTAATTAGTTGTTACTAGTTTAACAACTGCAGAGATTCACTTGCACAAATGAGGCAGGAAATGTCATCAAAATGTTGGACTAAATTGTGAGTGTAAATTGAGGACCACCTGTGTTTAGTAATTGCATACTTGCTCTTTAAAAAAAAATAGTCCGGCAATTGTCAATATCAGAATTTCACTGTTCTGATTTAGAAGTATATCTCCTGCTAATGAAATACATATATTAAGTAAAAGATACATGATGATGATGGCTTTCAGTGTGGCTTATGGAAAGGCTAACTCTTTGATGGTCCTGCAGTCATTCTGATAATGTACAATTAGCATTTCAATGTCAAAAGCAGTTCTTTCCTGGATACAAATAAAGGTGCCTCTTCCATTTTATGCACATCTAAAGTTTTAGGTCTTAAGGAGGGATGTGTGACTTTTTTTTCTTTTTCTTATGTCTCAAAAATTGCCTAATGTCTGTGAATTTACTCTGAAATTACTCTGTAATTTTCTTAATTTAAAAAAAGGCATTTCGCTATTAAAAAAGAAAAAGCAATATAAGACTTAAAACAAGGGGGATAAGCTAAGAATATCTACTTGTTCCTGTTTTCTATCAGTGTTTCCAGCATTTGTGTAGTATTTCTTACAATATCAGAAATGGAACCACCTCCCGAGAGGATGGCAGCTATATATTGTACAATAGTAACACCTCCAAAGCAGAGGTCATTTGCAATATACTCTTGTGTATAATACAGCACATAAAACAACCATATGCGGACATTTTTTTCAATGAATAAGGAACCTTTGTACTGAAAAAGATCTCTAGTTTTGTAAGGCAGTGCCATGTAAAAATTGATTTATACATCTTTGCAACGCTACACAGAGCCGAGCTTTCCGACGAGCCAAAAATCACGTCTTTTTGGTATGTGTGTCTTTTTCTGAGTGCATTGTGTGTGTCTGTATGTGTGTACGTAAACACACATGAACAAACATACAAACATCTATTGTTTATTCCAGAACTGTTATTATCAAGTATGACACTTAGATTAGAGTGGATGTTTTAATTGATACCTTAAGGAAATGGGAATCTTTTTAGAGAGAAGGGGAAAAATGTTTTTATTGCTCTCTGACACATTTTTATTTTTCTCATAGAGAGAAAAGGGCTACCATCCTTCTCTTGTCATCCTTCTACCATCTCCAAGAGAGTTTTTATAAAGAGAAATTATTAACGTTCTGATGCAAGAGCATCAGTAAAGTTACACAATTGATGGTGCTTTTGATAATTTACATTACAAGTAAACCTCAACTAACAACCTGTCATGTCCCTGTCAGAATCTAACTCAGAGGGGGAGGCCGAACAGTGGGAGTGTAGCTCCATCGGCTGTGGAAGAAACTGGGGAAGGGCAACGTCCGGCTGGGCAGAGCAGGAGAGAGGTAGAGCAAGGGAGAGGGAATTCAGAGGAAGACTCAGGCCCACCCCCTCTTAATCCTAGGGCATGCAGGGAGGAATGGAGAAGGGAGCAACGTGAGTTGCGTGGCTTATGGGGGAGGAAAGGGGCCTGATTCCCCTCATTAGCTGCACCTGGGAAGGTGAGGAAGCTACGCACAGCATGTTGTTGGGAACAAATGTGAATTTATCTGGTATTGTCGTGGCTTATCTATGTTCCTGGTGTGAGTTTTGCTGTGCTTTCAAGACTGAAATTCCTTCTCCTGCCCTGTCAAGTTAATTACTTCAGCTTGGTGTTTGGATTTTTAGTTACAGTTTGTATGTACCTTTGTTTAGACTGAATTTTCTACAGTTAAAGGTTGTTCCTGGGAGAGTTTTTTTCTCCAGCTGAAGGTAACCTAGACATTGGAGGCAAAGTTGGAGATAATAAAGGGACTCTTACTGCTTATTTGACTGTGTTGCCTTTGTGCCATGCCCCGGGTCATTACACAACCATTCATTTAGTGACTGAAGTTACAATGGCTCTGAGAACAATTATTTATGACCATTTTTGACCCAATCTTGGCAGCATCACATTAGGTCAAGTGATCAAAATTCAGACCCTTGACAAATGGCATGTATTTATGATGGTTGCATTATGTTGGGCTCATGTGATCTCCCTCTGACATGAAAAGTCAATGGGGAAGCTGGATTCACTTTATAACCATGAAAACTGAAATGATCCATTTAGCAACTGTGGCAAGAAAGATCCTAAAATGGGACAAAACTCATTTAATGATTGTCTTGCTTAGCAATGGAAATTTTGGGGCTCAATTGTGGTCATACATTGAGGACTGCCTGTATCTTATAAGGTTCTAGGGCCTCGTGTGCTTCCATGCTGCAAAATTAATATGCACAGACCGCTACCAATATAAATATTTTAAATACCCACTGGTAAGCTTTAGTTAAAATCCCTCCATCAGTATATAAAAGAAACCCCAACCACATAGCATTTCACCCATACTTACTGAAAGTCGATGGAACACGGTTGTCCCAAAAGTGCTTTTTCAAGAGGCAACTGGACTTTGTTTTTCCTTGAAGACATTTTGCTTTTCATGCAAGGAGCTTCTTGAGTTCTGGCTGAAGCTTCTTGGATGAGAAGTGAAACGTCTTCAAAGAAAAACCAGAAAGTCCGCTTGCCTCTTGAAAAAAGCACCTTTGGGACAACTCTGACCTGGATGACTGAGAATCTCCATAGACATTTAGGTGGAACATAGGTGGAATTTCTTCTAGATAGTAGAGCAAAGAGATGTTTCTCTTCCTTAATCAATGCTATTTATGCCAGAACCATTGTTTGCTACTGAAGGAGATAGTTGCCTTAACATTCTGATGTTGGATGCTTGGCTGTCTTTACAAGAGTGCTTTACAGTGTAGTCCTTTCAATATACAGCCTTGTTGTCTATCCAAAGATCTAAGCAGCTATTTAAATATTCCCTGTAGGCAACACATTCAGTACCGCAAGGAAAATTATCTTCCAAAGAATCACAGTTTAATCTATGTGCAAATCAAAATTACTTGAGTGTTGGTATAACTATTGATAGCAGGCAAGATTCATGTGATTCTTAATTATTTCACTCTGTTAGTTCCTTTTAATGCTTGGGTAAAGTGTAGGTGTG